TTATGCTAATGAGGCAAATATTGTAAACAAGGATTCCCCTATAGTAATGACTATAATAAGGTAACAGTAATAATACTGATAATAATAATAATAATAATAATAATAACAATAATATTAATACTGATAATAATAATAATAATTATAATAATAATGACGATAATGATAAAAAATTATACGACCTTTTGTCTGGTTTATAAATGTTTTTTTCTTGAAATCCTCCCTCCTCTACGACCGTTATCAATTTCTTTTCACGCGTTCTACTTTCTTTTCGTCTCCGATAAGGAAACTTACTTTGTTCTTGTGAGAGTTCATGCGATTAGTAAATAAAATGATAAACGATTTTACTCACACTGTTGATTTGCTGTGCGTTCCGTTGAGTTGTAGTTTTCTGTTTGAACGCGACAAGAACTGATTTATGCCGCGTGAGAGTTTTGTTGAGTCGTGCCCATCCCTTGGGGCCTCCGTTGTCTAGAGAAAAGCATGTGAAGGTATAAACAGTAAGCCTGGACACGAGTCTTTGAATAGCATGTAAATCTTGTTTTTTTTTAGCCTTTATCAAAAATAAAGTCAATCAGTCAATCATCTTATCCAAAAAGTGGATTATGTTTATATTTTTCTAAACCCTTACTACTAATTCAAATATAACCTTTTAAAAGATAAAGATTTTGTTCAATAAGGATAAACCATTTTCAAGATGTTTGAATTGGTTGGGCATTTCCATGTTCTATTGGGCCGGAAAAATCCGATATAGGTTGAAAAGCTCATTCTTTTCCCACTGGCTGAAACCAGAAAAGCATGAGCTCATTGAAGTCGAGCGCGGGTTTCAGCGACTGGCCGTTACGCTCCCTGTTAACAACAACAAAATGGCAGGTTGTTTGTGTTTATTTTTTTCGATACACTGGAGACGGAAGAAGAAGATGAATTTCTAAGGGTGCAAGTCGGAATCGAGTCACAAGATGGTAATTGCCTGCTCTACTGTAATCCTTTAACTTTTAAACGCAGGGAAGCCTGGTGCTGAATACTCACCCTCAGTACTTCGGATGAACCGAGTTTGAGTACTCGTGACAGTTCGGATAAAAACGAAAAATTCAACGTTGACAAAGGAATTGGTCTCTTGCGCTGTTTCTCAAACAGATACTTTTGTATTTAAAGCGTTAATGAAAACTCACAGTTCTTTTCTAAGGTTGAACTACATGTTTCCAGAAGTTTCCAAGTTTGTTCTAAAGATATCGCATGGAAGTGGTAGTAAAAAGTGGAATTCAAAAGCAATCCAGCAAATATATTTCAAAGCTTATTTATCCAAAGTTCTTTAACATTTTTCATTTCTGATTCTTGGAAAGTGTATGATTTTGGACAATTTTGTTTTAATAGTTTAAACATAGACGAGAGTAAATGTATTAATATAAACTCAATCCAGAAGATTGAGCGCCACAGAGGTTTAATTCACCCAATACAAACAAAGCTATGCCAATTTAATCAAGTTGATGACATCAAACATCCGCGTACATGCGTTGTAGAGCGAATGTGATTTTGCGATTCGCGCTTGACTCAACAGAAATATGATACTTTTCGCGGCACAAAGCTGTTCTGAAGGTAAATGCACTCATGAAAGAGTTGACTCAAGGAATCAGTTGTAGAGGTTCCCGTTGATGGGCTCCTGCTCCTGTTTAGCTCACAATGAGAGTGGGGAAGGTTAGCTTTTACCTGTGCCCACAATAGGATCTTTAAACTCCGTGATGTCTTTCAGCGTCACAAGGAACAACATCACTTCGCCCTTCTCGTTTTTGATTGGTCCAAGGTGGAACAAAACCCACATTGGTGTACCTAAAAGAACAAATGAGACTATGAGAGGTATGGAATTTTCTAACTATCCAAAATTTATTTTTTTCGAAGGTGTCGCTCATACTTATCTACACGATTTGGTATTCTTAATTTCAAATTGGTCAGCTGTTATAACATATCATCTTACCGTCTTTTTTATATGCAATGAACTCTTTTTGAATAGCCGCCTTCGCCTGCAAAGCGTTATGGAGCTCTCTTATTGTCTCGGGGTCTGTCTGTTGACCAAACAGGAAGTTGCAGTCGCAGTTTTTCTTCATCACTTCTGCTCGCGTGTATCCCGTGAACTTGCAAAACCCATCGCTCGAGTAAACAATGGGATTTTCTAGAATCTGAGCGTTCCCCAGTACGAATAACGAGTCTGCAATCAAAATATAGTATATATGTGATGCATTTATCCATTACTTCATAAACGGATGAACTAGAACAACTACCTTATTTTTTTGTTTACAAAATAAGCTGAGTTTTTTTAGCGTTTTAATTGGTTCTTACTTTTGATCAATTGGACGACAGACGCGTAGATGACGTCACGATCTACGTTTTTCTACCTCATTATGTAAAACAAATAGATTCTATGTTGCCGGCCGCGGGTCTGCTTAGTTATAGAACACGGAAGACGTTAAAATGTAGCAAGAGCATCGGTAACGCTTTCAGCTGCGCCTCGTGCGTCACTCTTTTGTTCTATCCATATTTGGGCAGTTTCTGTGTTCTGGTACTGAACAGACCTACGGTAACATGGAATTTATTTCTTGAGCTTTTAGCTGAAGGTCTGCTCTCCCAAAAATATTCATTGTTTGGAATAGATACTGAGATACAGAGAAGTGGAGTACTTTGATTTTAGTCTTCTGACAGAAACGCAATTTCGGGTTTTACATTCTGGTAACAGCACATAAAATATGAAAAAGCTCTAGCTATTGACTGACGGGAATATAAAGAAGCTTTTTGTTTATTTTCATTGAAAAAAAAAAACAAAAAAAAACAAGCTAGTTATCTTTACAACATGATAAAAACTTCCTTTCCAGCAATTTCCAAGCGGGCGTCACACGTTCGACGAACACAAGTTTTAAGTTCCTACTTCTTTTCATAATTTCCTGTTTGTAAAAAACGCGACAAACGAGGAAGAATTAGAAAAAAGTCGGATAAGAAAACCTTATTCATCGGGGTCTGACAGCCGCGCCGAAATTGATCTTTCCACGAGAAAAAAGAAAAAAGTTGTATACTGCTTTATCCAAATTAATGTTGTCCTTTTAAAACCTTTGTTTTGTGTGGATAAACTATGTTCCGCATTACAACGGATTACTACAATATATTTCTTTTTCACAAAAAACAGTGTTCGCTATTTTTATGTTCATAGTCTCCGTATGTGACAAAAACTTCCCGTTAATTGATAGTGTTTAGCTGGCTTAATTTTCAGTCAGGAAACGATGAGATGTCTTACATAACGAAAACTTCCAACACTGTCTTCGAAGGTGCTGGAACCTTCCACGTTTTTTCAAGAATTTTTTGAAAATGGCTCGCAAAATACCACATGCAGCGCCCTGCGAAATAGCTGAATTACTGAACTTTCAAAATAATGCGGATAGCCGGATTATCCATTAGTACTAATGAAAAGAAATTTATTGCGATTTGAAATTGCAGAAAATGATGAGAAAGAAATTCTGAAAACAAAAACCTCCATTCAAAAAGTTGACACGAGTAACCTGGGGTTTATCTTCAGTAGTTTCGTGACTGGCTAATTGCACCAATTCTCGAATGAAAAGGATTTCAAAATATGAATATCAAATTTGGTTACATCGAAAAGCTTCACTAACTAATACTTCACTTTGAATCTCTCCATAATCTACGAAATCGTGTGTATATTTTCGGTGAAATCGAACGAGTCCGGCAATGAATTCTAACCTAATCACCATTATCATTCCCTGTTTCATAATCAGGACTTTAATTATTACACAACAGAAAGCACGAATACAGTCTATATGCTCAACAACTTATTTATATTCACAGACAATTCCAAAGGTATTTTAACCAGAAAAACACAAGATTTACCTGCCTAAATTTAGCGATAGGCAAAAAGAAATCTAAGAGTGTATCGCAGTCATTAAATTTAAAGACAAAAGTCTTGTAGAATAGTAATGTAAACATTAAAATGACAAAAACAATCATGTTCACGATTAATTTAAAGAAGGAAATTTTTATCACTGTTGAATATTTTCGTATTATTCCCTACAGGATTATCCGAGGGTTTAGATTTAGCGAATTTTAAAGCTGCCGCCAGTATGTCGAAACAAATTTTCTTTGTCAAAGTCAGGACTCTTAGCTTGAGGGTCCTTTCTGATAGTGTGTGAAGCTTTGTTTTGGCTAATCCATTTTGTTTTCTGATAGCATATCACCGCAAAACAATCAAAGAGTCAAACAAACCCAAACTTGATATCTCATCATATCAACAAGATTTTCAAACTTAAATAAAATCACAACAAAGGTCACATGTATGTTCACACAACGACCATTCTCAAAGATTCAATGTGCCGAGGACTGCAAATTTAGAATCAGATATGAATTTCGACGCACGATTCTTGAAGTTTTAGTTGTAATATCTATCGTAATAATGTTTTCTTATTGTACAGGCCTGTTTAGCATTTTTTACAATAAAGCAATACTTACGTAGTCCATTTGAACGGCGAACAACATTTTCTAGAAAAGTATTCTGAGGAACTACAAGACCTCTCCGTCCAACTGGCATCTCGTCCCTGAAAACACATTCATTCAGCGATTGGAAAAACCACTGGTTCGGTTATTCTAAATTGAAGTTATCATGAATGCAAATTGTGAAATATCCACATGAATATTCAAGTGCAAATAATGCCTATCTAGAGAGTATGGAGTTTACACTCCTGTTGTTCTAATGTCGCATTGTTGACACGTGATCAATTGGAAGCCTCCTACACCTGTTTTCCAAAACAATACGTACATACATGGAAAGTAAATATTGAGCCTTCCAACGCTGTGAAAACGGTAGAAAATACATCGTACAGCCTTGATGAATTGGATTAAAAATAATGAGGTCTTTCATGAATGGCTTCAAAGGCTCTGGCCGAGAAATTTGTCGGACGCTCTAAAAGGTCTGCGTTGATCTCTATCAGACGAAGAACGTTGTGGTTAGGGAATTTCACGAACTGAAATCTTGACTAAAACTCGTCTTTTTTTCAAAAGTGAGGGCCGTGTTTGTCACTTTCTCACGAAAACGATTTTTTGTTACGAGCTTGATCTAAAACTGAAGTAAATAAACGAAGACATTGATGCTTACATGTTTAAGCTTCTTGATTTGGAAGTGTCGGAGAACGGTGCCTTTAACACGCGCTTCTTGTCGTGTGGGAATAGACGGCTTTTTCACCCCTTAATTTTTGACTATTTGCTTTTATTATCTACACTGGGATAAATTACCATAACAACAATAGTTCCACCACTCAGAAATGAGCGTTTGACGAAAATGACATTTGGTTAGCGGTAGTACCGCCTAATAGAGATACGTCAATTTCCTCTTGACAAAGACTTTATCGTAAACACATGAAATATTTAATAGTATATCTCGATGTGAAAGGCACGACATATTCGTTAGTGGAGAGTTTTACAAATTGCGGAGAAGAGAGACAAAAACGCTATGAGGAAAATACAGCTTTAAGGAATTAATCTGATTCGGTGCAGACAACTGTCATCCAGCTCAGTTGATTTACAATTGTCAAAAATCATCGAAAAACACAACCGGCCAAAAATGTCTGAAATAAATACTAAAAAAATCGTGTCAGTAATTGACTAACGTGGATAACTAAAAAAATGCCTTCTTTCGAGATATACCTAGGACATAGATTATTTGTTTCTGTATTGCTACAAAATGAAATAATGACAGAGGTTTAGAAAAAGATGCTCTCCGGGTGTTCTAATAACCTTCACCAAAAAAAATAATTTTTCACACTTTGTGGTGTAGTGTTACTACGGTGATGAAAAGTAATCATAGGTCGTTACAATTAAAAGGTTTTAGATCGAACTAATTTATGTGAAAAAAAAACATTATAAAAATCCCTCTACATAAAATTAATAACTAACCCCAACTTTCTCCGATTCGATGTCTGCCAGTTTTTTCGCTAAAACGCTTGTCTCATTTCGTAATGATTGAGAAATATGGAAATATTCCCTTCGTTTATTTAAGCACACCACAGGGAACATATGTTTAGTGAATGGCGCCTCGAAAATGAAAATGAGGTTACTATGTGTTTTGGCGTTTTCATCCCAGTCAGGCACCCTTAGAGAACTCGTGCATTTTGGGTAATTCTGGCGTTACGAAGTTCAGACAATTCAATCATGATAATTCGCTTTAATAAAACGTTACATTAAGTACAATGAAAATATTTTAACAAAAAGCAGTTTGGTTACGTAATTGAGGCTACTCGTAAAAGATGGTTGAGGATTTTTCTGTTGGGTAATTTCGCACAGCAAGACAACTGACGAATTCCCTGAGGCTCTTTGTTTATTTATTCCAATTCTCTTCAATTTAGCCGATCTTCTGA